CTGGAAATCATGATTATATGGAGTGTAATTAAATGGTAGGTGTTTCAGTGAATCGTGTGGATTTTGTCTCTAGAGCTCATAAAACCACTATTGTGAAGATTGCCTTTTCTCAGTTGTAGCAATTTAGTCCTGCTAGTGTTGTCATTCTCTCAGTATAAATGTAGCTTGGAAAAAAAATTGTTCCTGTGATAGTTCTTTTTCTCTTAATCCAAATTATTACTGCATCATATTTAGAAAGAACACTCAACAAACTTCAATGTCATGTGAGGATATACTTCCCTTGGATATATGTATCCTTCAAGAGCTTGTCTTAAAAGAGCTTAGAAGTAGAATTCAAGACTGTTTTATGAACATACTTTAATTTTGATTTTTCACATGAATACATAAAATAGAAATATAAAATTGTAGATGTCTGGATACCTCTCCAGCATTCACGTACCAGTTCAACATTAACTTGTCTTTTACTACCATAATTTTAGATAATGGAAATCAAAAGGTAGTATTTGCTGGAAATTTTGCAGTTGTTGAACTACTAAGGGACATTCTGTGGAACAGAGATCCTGAGCCAACAATTTCATCTGTAAAAAGCTGTGTTTCCAGTCTTGTCTTTGAAGTAGTAAGCTCATGATAAACTCACTATTTGGGGATGCTTTGTTATCTTTTTCCTGTAAATGATGGATGATTCTAAGGTCACTGAAAACTTAGAAAGGTCAAATCGCAGATGAAGTAACAAACCAGAACCAAAACCTGAAAGTTAACTGCAGTTGAGTAAGAGATGCTGTATTAGTTCACTTTTAGTCTTCTCCTAATTATTAACTAACTGGTAAGGGATCACAATGTGTATTTTATTTAAATGTGCAAATAAGGGTATGTTGACATTGTAACATGAAAAGACAGTCAGTTATTCAACAAAAAAAAAATGCTGGCTTGATGGGGAAAGGATAATACAGTTTTTGCTTACTCCAATGACTGTAGATAAGTTTTGCCAATCAGGTAAATAGTACAGTAATATCACCTTAACTAGAAAATGGAATTTGACAAATGGAATTGACAAATGGAATGTGTAGCAGAGACTGAGAGATTTCATCAGTTTAGGCCAATACAATGTTGTCAAACTTCAACAGATGTGCAAGATGATTTGTTTTGGTATATCTAACAGCCTTTGGTAAGACTGACATCCATTATCCAATCGTATTTTTCTAATAACAGTGTCTGCTCTACTGTCCTAAAGAACACATTTCTCAAGTTATTTTTTTCTCTTTCAGAGGTGTGGATTTATAACAGCACTTGCTTATGTCATTAAATCTACATCTGATGCATCCTGGATGTAGCCCATTTATGATTGTTAAAATGGCTTTTTCATAGGAGACCAAAGATAAATATAGCTAAAATCCTGCCTCCAACACTGGCTAATAGTGCCTGCTATAATAGTAAGAGCAAAGATGAGGTCAAGAAGCTAGTAATGTTTCCCCAGCATGCTTCCCCAGCCTACAACAATGTGAAACTTCTGAGCCAGATGTTGTATCTTTGTATTTTTCTTATGAAAATCTTTCATTTACCTTTTGTAAGTAGGTAAAGTCTTAGTTTCAACACCATCACAGCATAATCACAAGTTAAGTGCTTCCTTTTGTTTTAACCTCGCTGCTCACTATTTTCATTTGATGTTCGATCATTCTCCACCATCTCCAAGCCACTCAAGATATTAAAGACTATGTTTATATACTCAGTCCTGTCTTCCAGGCTGAAAAGTTCTGATCTGTTTTGTTGTTTGTGTAATCTATAGACTTGATCATCCTTTCCCCCCTCTCTCTTTATTGCATTCATGTCCAGTATAAATATAATCTTCTAGGATACAGCAGACTTACGGCTTGCATTCTGGGTAATCGATCTCCATATATTCAGTGGCTACTTGTCTGGGATTTCCAAACCTCCAGCATTTGTCTAAAACTGCTCCTCTTTTCTGCCTGGGAATATTTTTAATGGAACTGCTGTCCCACTTGGTTTGCTGTAGGTCTGGAAATTCTGGACAAGTTCAAAATGTTCAGATTCTGCCTGGACATGTTACCAGGAATCTTGGAGTAAGATGCCCCATCCAATATTGATGTGGTAGTTCTGTTAGTATATATGGCCACTGTCTACACTGCATCTGTTCTCGTGTTGTTTGTTTTACTAGTTACCCCATCCGAGGCTTCTTCTACTTACACTCTTGAAAAATAGTTAGTACACTGAAACTCATGCTTTCGATTTCTCAAAATATTCAGTAGACTTCACCAACCAAAAGCCAAAAATTGACTTAGAACCTGGCAGCGGTCCAGCATGCTGCTGTGAGAAGGTCCAGGAGGCTTTTTCACAGACCTCAGTGAGCCACTTGCCACTCCAGACTGGTTGACCACCAGTTAGTGAGAGTACAGGGCAGGATAACAAAGCTCCACACAAGTGGAGTGGGTGCCTGGAAGATGATGTGTTGATGCTGAAGAATGGGTATTAACTCCAGACACAGATCTTCAAAAGCTCTGTCTTTCTGAAAACATCGTAACTCCTGCTGGTCATCCAAGCTGCCATTACTCTGTTTTCAGATAGAGCTTTTGAAGATTTCTGTCTGGAGTTAATGACCAGTGCTCAGTATCAATACATAGTCCCACCTGTTGATGCTAATCCCTCCAGCTCTTGCTGGACATCTGTGTCTGCAAGCATGCACTGGTCTCATGGGGTGCTTTTCTGAAGAGTAACCACAGCCCACTGGTGGGCATCTGCAGGGCAGGCAGAGACGCTGTAAGGGAGGAAGTAACTGGCAGCATGGTCTCAATTAAAAGGTAAGGATTAGCAAGAAAGAACCTACAGAGTGTTCTTTTTACATAATGGATCCTTAAATGGTGACAATATCTGTGTAAGGCAAATGGCTCTTCAGTGCAGTGTGTGTGCTGGGGAGCACTGTGCTGTGTGGGGATTGTGTGGTAACCACCATTTTCATAGGGGATGGAGATGGTTCCCTCAACACATCCCTCCGGATTCCAGTAATCCTCAGTGAAGGCCTGAGCAATTCAGCAGTAACCAGGTTGGTTTGTGTCATAGCACAGATTAACATGGCAGCACACAGAGGTGCCTTAAAAGGTGAGAAAAAGCCCTGTTCAGGACTTGAAGGTGAGGGCAGAACTCCAAATGTTGGGAGTGAACTCAGCTGAGCATTGATGGAGACTAGAGCTTCTTGCAAGGAAGAAGTTGAGGCTTAATGTACAATAATTTGACCACTGTAGGGAATATGTCATTGCTGACCCGCTAAGTGATCTTGGATGCTTTTCTGTTTGTTTGTGCTACAGACTGAATAATGATGAAGCTGGAGCATAAATAACTTTAGGATATCTTGTGAGAGAAGTGAAAGACCTTTAAAATGACCGTATTTTAGTTCCATATGTTGGGAAGTGAAGGTGTGGAGATGATGACTGAATGAAATGTAAAAGCTGAATTTTCATGTGTCACGCCAGGGTTTACAATTTCAACTAGTTCTTGTAATTCCATATATTGTAGGATACTGTCTCCTTGTGTAAATTTAATTAATAGATCCACTTTTTAGTTTGTAAATGGAAATTTAAAAAAAATCCTCCATTCTAGTATGTTCATTCATTTGGTATCTTAATTTGCTAGACTCACAATTTATAACACTATCACTTTGTTTGACAGTACATGGTATTAAGAGGAAGATCTGACACACCCTTTAAGTGGCACTTACAACTGTCTGACCTTATCTACACCAGCAACAGTAGTGTAGAAAAGGTCAGGAATCTTGGATTCTGCCTTTGCCTTGCCTCTGAGAAAACCATAGCGGTTTTGGTTAGAGGTAAGATACCTGAAACATAACAATTATGAAACATAGTGGGGCCAAATAGCTAATCCTTGAGTTAATTAGAAAATACTGGCATAGCAAGACAAGTACTGGCAAACTCTCTGAGCATACACAATTTATGCAAACAAAAGGTTAACCAGAACAGATTATACCAATTTTCTGAATAAAATAAATTGTACTTGAAAAAGCAGTTTTTGCTAGTGGAATACCAGTGTCGGAATAAATGTGTGTACATTGTACATAACATAAAGATGGTCATGAAAATCAGTAACTTAAGTCTTCCTGAACATCAATTTAAAACAAATATCAAGGTAGTAAGATACACATCCAAACCCCATGAGATGGGACTCAACAGCAGGTCAGTTATATTAAAATCATAGATTCAAGCGCACTAAGCTATTGAAGTAAGACTTGAATATTGTGGTGAAGACAAAATGGAAGCACATAATGCATGTTTTAATGTATCCTTAAATCACAGTTTTTGATCAAGGCTGACTTTTTTTCTGACTGACAAAAAGGCACTTTTCTGATAACGGGGGGGGGGGGGAATCTGAAAAAAACAGAATGACAGGACCCCAGAAAATACCATGACTGTCATTTAGAACTTGTCTTGACACAGGGTTATACTGGAAATGGATTAGGTGAATTTGGCATACAGCATTTATATCAGAATAAACATGCCCCATGGAGCTAATAAGCAATAGTCTTTGCATTTTAAATAATTTCTTGCTTAAATTCAAACATTGTGTTTCAAAGCCTTTGGGTTGTTTTGGGGCTGTACATTATATTATTTTGCCTCATAATCAATTGTATTTTCATTTTATCAGGACTGCAATGTAAAAAATAGTGAGTTACTAAGTACAGTGCTCTTAATGTTCTTAATCCGTGTTACTTAAACCTTAAACCCTATAATCTTTTGTTCAGCTTCAGGGTTTTATTTAAAAGTCTCTCAAAACACAAAAGGATTTCCTCTTAGTTTCCAGTTGCATTGACTCATTCTTCTTGGTCAGATAGTTAGTTATAAATAGTTTTCTTTTGAGCTTTGATGTATTTCTTTGTTCAGTCAGATGTTTGTCCATACATTTATGACAGTTCTTTTTTTATCTCTTGATTTTTTAATTTTTAATTTGTGTTTGTCAAGGCTGACCATTGTTCATTATTAGGCTGAACTGATTTCTTCTTCATCTTCCTCAGAGTCAGCGTCATCATTGTAGAAATGAATTGTAGCTTGTACTGGAAAGCTTGCCAGAACCTTCTCTCCGATGTTATTAAGAAACTTTTGGGATTTGGACTTGGGCAAATAAAGTCTAACAAGAAAACATATTAAGAGAAAAAGTAAAACTATGCAACGCTTTCCCAGCAAAGCTAGCTTAAAACCTATTTTTATCTTTCTTTGGAGAAAGAAAGATCCTAGGGTTCCTTGTCTTTTAAAATAGAAGTTGCTAACTAAAAGGTACTGTTGATTTTGTTACCTTTGGGCATTTTGTGTATTGGATTTATCTAAGGTCCCACCCTGATAAAGCGTTGCCAGGGCAATGATGCATGCTTGCAAAGGTTTGGGTTGGTTTGGGTTTTAGCACAGTTCAGAATGGAAGTGTCCCATGTGACTGGGGGAAGTTTGAGGAATGTTCTGGGATTCTGGAATTAAGATTAAGACACAAGGTTGACTGGGGTGGGTTGCCTGTTGCACAGAGGTTGATCTTAGCGGATTTTGTATCTCCAGGTGGAGGAAGAGGTGTACACTGAGATTTATTTCAAAATTCATACTGTTTTGTATTGAAATCATAAATGTCATAATTTAAGCATCAGGTTTTCACCAGCTTTCCCACTAAAGCAAAACTTATGTGGCCTGTATGCATATGTGGTTTTGTGTGCATATGTATGTACATCTCTTCCTCTTGGTTCCACTTTGGCCAGTTTTCAATCAAATTTGCCAGTGATAAAGGTCACACAGAATTTAAGCTTTTACAACTTTTATAAAAACAAGTGCTTGTAAAGAAGAGGGATATTCCATTAATTTTCCTCCTCTAAACAGAAGTCTAAATCAGGAGTTTCTACATCATTAAGCCTTAAAGAATCCAAATGTTGGTGAAAACCCTTGTAAATCCCCCAAGCATAGGAAAAGCTTTACCTGGAGTTCAACTTTTATTCAAGAGCAAATTTAAGCAACATCAAGACACAGATCTGTAACAAGTCACATTCCATTAGCAGCTGTTCATGTTAATTATTTGGGCTTTGTGGGCTTGTTATCATATTAATAAATGTAAATATAAATTAGACGAGGCAGAAGAACATCGTGTCTTTTAAGATTACTTTTTTCTTATTTTCGTTATTAGCATATTGTTTCAGGTTCTGTTCAGCCTGGGCATCTGTCCTTGTGGAGGGATAAAAATCTACAGGTCTGGTGAGTAGTTAAACTGCATTACTAAAAAAAGATACTCCAGAGACAAACTGATAACTTCTCTGGAGAAGTAATATGTCTTGTCTTGGCAGGTGTCACTTTTCCTGTATCAGGTGATAGGATTTAACTCACCTCACTGGATGTTGAAACCCCAGGGCTCCTTTTGATCTAAAATTCATTAGTTGACCATCCAGTTCTGACTGTAAAGAGACATATTTATTATTTAGAATAGGCTAAAAATGAAGATTTCACTTTTTTCTTCTACAGGTAACTTAAAATTCTACAGTAATGTTGCTTTTGTTTGCTGTGCTGCATGTTGTTTTACTCTGACTAAGTGTACTTCGGAGAATATATGTGCCCACAGTCTGCCAATAGTTGCACATTTAACAGAGCATTTGAGGTTATACATTTTGTGAGCCATGAAGCCATGAAGTTGTACATTTTGCTTAAGTTCTTATGGAATATCTATAGTGACTGGTGAGCTAATAACACTACCAAATGGAAGTTCGGTGATTGGAAGAAAAAAGGATTTTCAATCAGTTTAAAGGATTGGGAGGTTAGGGTTTTATAAAATACCTCTTTAACTACACTAACCAGTAGTTTGGAGTTGGAATGTTCAAGTCAGCAAGCTTAATTATAATCAAAGATCACACAAGCATGTTAAGAGTCCAAACAGTAAAATCAAAAGACAACTGGCATCTCATATTTCTATGCAAACAGTGATAAAAAAGCAAGGATTTTTGATACAACAGAGTAGGTAGCAAAAATATATTTTAAATATCAAAATTAAATTTGGCATAGAATAAATTCCTTCAAATTAAGGTCACAATAAAAAACAATAATTTGCAAATGTTAATGTTACTAAATCCTATTAGGATTATAAACCTGGAATGTAAACCTGAAAGCATCTCCCAAAATCACTGAGCCCTATCACTTCCTCTTGTACGCGTGTATTCTCTTCCATATCTTAAAACAAGAAGACCTCTTTTTTCCTGCTATTGCTATAAACTTGATATTGCATAAAATAGGAAGATTTAGCTTTGCTGTACTAGAACTTTTAGTGAACAGAATCTAGAAACTGTCCACTCTGCTACAAACAGACAAAGATGACTTTTGCCACTGTCAGAGCAATTCATCTATCTTTCTGAGGAAGTAGGCTTTAGCATGGATATTTTGGTGGGCCCCAAAAAGCCCTTGGGCTACTGACTGAGCAAGGGGTCCTATAGAATTCTCTCTGTACCTTTTATGTTGGTCTGTTTCTCTCATACCCACCTGTTTGTCTTGTAGCCAAAATGATTTGTGTTCAGGCTGTTAGGGTTTTGTTGAGGGGGTTTTTGTGTTCAATCAGGAGACTCATTTACTTTGTTTCTACAGTACTTAGTAAAATGGACTCCTGAGCTGGCTGAACATTGTAGATGTGATCATAATATCTGTGTTAAATACCATATGTTATTTTTCTCTTTTCATATTTACATTAGATTTAAAATAGTCTTTTTTATCTTTATTGACCTGTATTTTCTCCTGTCTTCTCTTTGGAGTACATATTATTTTTAATAATTATATATGTAATAATATGTATTGATTAAACACACATTATATGCTTTTTATTTTCAGACTATAATACAGCATTTCTGAAAAGCAATTCTGATAAAAACCAAATAATTGCAAAATCTAACTCAGTTTGTATACAGCAGAAAATGTTCAGTGTTAATTTGTATTATGTTGTAAATATGGCAATAGTAACTTTAAATTACTTTTCATGGCTTTTCTTCAGGCATAAGTAACAACATATTTGAATTTAGGTAACAGGAAAAGTGTTACTTTTTATATAAGGAAAAGTATATTATGTGTAGGTAACTACAGGGTATATTGTAACACATGATCTTGGCAATAGAGGTAAAATTGTGAGTTTAATTTTTTTACCAGTACTTTTATTTTTTAGTGCTTTCCTCTGCATCTTTCAGCTACTTGGGTTAGATTCTTATATGTATATTCCTAAACTTTTTTTTTTTTTTTTTTACTTACACAGAGGATATTGAAACTTTTATTTGCTTCACGCTCCAGTGTTTGATCTACTGATCTGTAAAACACTGACATTTGTATGTATACATTGCAGAAAATAAAAGTAGCCAGCATGCAGCTAACTAGCAAAAACATTGTGCTCAATCTATCTTTGAAGGCCTTCTGCTAGAAACCTCAGTAACTTTGCTGGAGAAGATACCTCCTGCGTTCCACAGCTGTAGGATGTAGGTATGCATTAGGGAGCACGTCTTCCCACCTATGCACCACACAAAGTATCCAAGCATCTTTCCTCAGTTGTTGTGACCCTATTAAAAAGCATATGAAAGGGCTCCTAAAGCCCTCCTTCAGACCTCATTAGGTCCCAAGCTACAGAGGCATCAAGGATGCTGAAGCAGTGTGGCTGGGCCATAAGGTGTGGATGAGAAGGATCTGAGAAGCTTTTGGCAGGAAGGAGAAATATTACAAAATTGAAACCAACTGTTTCAGCTATACTTGGCTTGAAACAATGCCAGGCTGTTAGCGTGAATGTGGAAAATGTCACATATGGTTTGTTTTTCTCACACAAGTGGGCAGAAGCCCAGGTGTGAATTAAAACTTTTGAGCTGGTTGAATAAAATTTTCTACAAAAACATGACCTCAGTAATAAATCACAACTTCCTGATGTCAGAAACCTGAGTTTCTTGAAATCATCACTAGAAGCTTATACTCTCCTGAAAGTAAGACTCCTCTCATCATTAGCAAATTTACAGGTGCCTCTGGCAAAGCCTGGAACACTGCTGAAAAGGACATTCTTCCACAGTCGTTCCCAAGGCACCCGCCGGGAGGAGTGTGGCACTCCCTCCGATCTGTACAGTTACAACCTTCATCAGCAGCAGACAAGAAGTGCAAGGTAAAAAGGTGTTGCACCTGTTAGAATATAGTAGAAATTGTGAGTCTTTAAAGACTTGCACTAAGGAGAGTTGTTGTCTTAAACTGCTGAGCCTTTGGTAAAAAGTTGAAGATGTAACTCTGGATCAGATGCTACAAAAACTTACGCAGGTGCTTAAAACTAAGCATCGGAGTAGCACCACTTCGATACATTTTTTAAAGTTTGCAGTTCGGGACCTATGTTGAATGTGCTTCAATCTCTCTCTATTTTTGTTCTTTGAGCCTAACAAATCTTCCTGCATGAGTAAGTAAAACTAATAATAATGGTGCCTTTCGAAGGCACTTGGCAGTAAAAGCTACTTCAAAATCCAATTTTCTGTTGATTACCTAGCTGATTTAGCTATAGCGACATCCCTCCCAAAAAACAATCAATAAAACAGTGCACCTGAAAGTATGGTTTTTAAATTTCATCTTAAAGTCATTTTCACTCAAACTCCCCCTATATACAAAATATCACATACAGACTAGGCCTGGAAATTTCAAACTGAGGGTATTGTTATTTTTATAATTAAGCAAATAAAAACTGCTGTTAAAATAAGGGTTGTTTTGAGTAAGCAGTGCTTTCTGCAGCTCTTTAAGATCTGATAATGATTCTATATCTGATACAAATTAGAGATGCTCTTAACCATTATCATGTACAGAACACTGTAATTTGAACCATATTTTCTAACACTGAAGAAATGCTTGAAAGAACAAATGAATAGATGACCAAGCCTCACTTCCCGTGTTCAAATAGTTTCAATTTCTGCACCTGTTTTCTATAAGGATTATTTTCTCCAGAATTTAGTCTCACCATTTGTCGATTCTCTGTCATCTCACTGTCTCTTGCTGTGAGCATCCACGGCCTCCATAAAGCAGGGCTGCTGAAAGATTAAGATAGAACAGTGTCCCCACAGTTAATTCTTTGTGGTAATATCCATACAGGACAGCTCCTTTTGTTAGATTCTGCTGGCATCATTTGAAATAACAAGATCTTTTTCTTTTCAACACATTTGGATTTGTTAAATCTGATTTCCATGGCAATATTACTCTGTCTTCTGTCTAGGATCTGATTAAACAAACTAGACAATAGCACATTTTTAACTGAGGTGTCATTTCCCTTTAAGATTTCACAACTCAAAGTGACTGCACTGAACTCCAAATGATGATGTAATAAATACTGAAATCTCTTTATTTATGCTGCGCTGCTACAAAATAAAAAGTAACCCTCCCTCTCTGACAGTATGTCTAAATACAGATTCCATGTCATCATTGAGTGGCTGCTTATTTATTGAGTAAGCAACTCCAGCATTAAACTGACATGGGCAATCTGATCTAATTAGCTTAAGAGAACCTATGCAGCGGTGGGTGCTACATCTGCCTTTTATTTGGTGGGGGGGACTACAGTTATGGATGCTCTTTTTAACAGTACTTTCCATCTCTGCTGCCGTGTAACAGATCCTTACAGTTGGGGAAATGGAAAAGTGCTTTCACATATGAAATGTAGATAAACTTAATAATAAATCAGTTATGGCAACCTTATTTTCATTTACTTCCATTTATAAGTAAGTTCTGAAATATTTGACAGAGAAGGGTAAAATATCAGCAAAACAAATAAAATACCTGTTCCAAGTGAAACGTTTTGAGAAACGTAATTTGCCCTTTACTTCTGAAGTTGGAAATTGTTTTCTGTTGTTTATTCAATGCCAAAATCATTACATTCAGGTGATACAGTCGGAGTTTTGAAAGGAAGGCTGCTGAAAAAAGTCTCCCTGCGCCTGCCTTACCTCTCTGGGCGCTCCGTTGGCCGGGGCGGGTGCTGGTGCTGGTGGTGCTGGTGGTGCTGGTGGTGCTGGTGCTGCCACCGGGTGTCCTGGGAGCGATGACAGATGTGACCCACTGCAGCCCGGAGCGGGAGGCCAGCAGCTGCACCCTCCATGGCAATTGATGGTCTAAAGCCTGTGGCGGGCTGGGCGCTTGCCTGGGCCTTTCAGCCCCTCCTTTATCTTAACTCCCAAAGAATACTTACCTAAAACAAACACGGCGTCGGGTAAAAGGAGAGAAACCTCCTTAATGAGATTTCTTCTGACTCCCCCCAAACGGTTCAAAGATAGGGCTCTCACGTTGGCAGGCTGTCCTGGGAGAGCGCTGCTAGGGAAACAGAGGCTTTTTGTTAAGTTTGGTTAGCAAATCACATGGAAAATATTCCACGCCCTTTATCTTTCTGTTGCTGTTTTACAAAATCCATATTTGCTCTGTATGAAATAATATGGTGTAAATACTCCTTTTGCATGTCTTGGGAAAACTCATCAACATCCTGTCCTAAAAAAGTGCAACAAAGAGTCAAAGACAATTTTAAATGTAAAATTATTTTTTAGATGACTGAAGTCTTTTCCATGTCCTAACTTTAAAAAAGATACTAAAAATTAGTGAAGGTGAGAGGATTTAAAGAGAGGCTTAGTGACTTCCTCAAGACTACAGGGATGTTCCTTTAATTTGATTGCTATTTGATGGATGGAGAAGAAAGCTTATGCCAAGAAAGGTGACCTTGTCTATTAAAGATAAGGAATCTTTTATTTCAAGTATGCCATACATGCTTTAAGCCTACAAAGACTGAATAGAAACAGACTTCTTCCAAGCTTTCTTCCCACTGTTTTCATTCGTAACATGCATTAATCATAGTCTGTTACATTGTACAAGAACAATTTATTACCTGCTGGATGACATTATCTGATTTTCATTGTTGTGGTTCATTGCTACAGTTCACTTTGTTTCCTTTATTTCCCAACTACTGCAGAGATGTAAGAGGATTATAAGAACCTAAAGCTGAATTCTCTTTCCACTGGTGCTGTTTACACATTGACATCAAAGGGAACAGATTCAGCTCCCAAATATAATTGGTTTCTACTGTGAACTTTCTTGCCAGAGAGAGAAAAATAATGTCGTTTACTGAACATGGAATGTCCATTGATTACTTAGTATGAACTAGGTCCCTTCTAGCTGACTTAGCTGAAGAAACCATCAAAACAGTCAGTTTGAGAGGACACTGAAAATTCTCAGTGGGAGTCAGATCCCTCCAAGGTAAGCCTTGTGGCTCTTTTCCACGTTATGATCCAGTGGGAGGTAGCACGTGTCTGGTCAGCAAGAAGGGGCTGGACTCACAGATAAAGACCACTGGATATATTCCTTTGGAGACAAAATTTTCCCCTGAAATTATTCTGTATTAGAAAACATTGTATATATACCTTTGCACATGCGGGGTTTTGTGCATTCTACTGATTTTGCTTAAATTTAAATGTCTTCCTTCCAACAGGGAGGAGCTTAGATCAGATTTGAAAGTCAGACTGATTTTCCTACATTAATGCAAGTTGTATGGTTGTGTTAGTTACCGGGCACTCCTAAGACTGCTAAAAGTAAAGCGTAACACAGGTTCTGATGTTTTTGAAGTAGTCTTCAGTAACAGAATCTGGGATTAGATTTGTTGAGGTTCAATTCTTACATAAATTTTTCCTGTTATTTAAAACATCCCTTCTTGCTGTGACAAATAGACACATTTTAAACTCAAAGGCCAAAGCCATTAAAGGTTGTTCTGGGAAGCACTGACAATATGTAATGGAGGACTTACAGTCTAAGTCTACTCCCTCCCATGTTTAAATACTGTGTGATATTTGTGAAGTTGTAACTAAGTAAATAATACCGTATCTCAAAGAAGAAAATACATGCACAGCCTCAATTACTTTAAACATTTATGTATCAAAATCAGTACAATTATTAGAATGAACAATATGGTGAATAATATTCAAATAACAAAATATATATTAAAATAGCAGCATGGGTCCTGAGAAAAAATGGCAAAATTCTTAAGTAACCTAAATTGTAATTAAATATCTTACTGAATTACAGTCTTAAATACAAATATATAATTTCATCAGCTTAGTTTTATTTAGACCTAATTTAACTTGATAGTTGAAAGGGAAGTGTGGATTACACAACTGATGTCTATGGTCCTGATCTTGCAATCAGATCTGTATGTGAGGATAATTGATTTATACCCCTGGATAGAATCTGCCAACATGGATATTAGTGCAGGACTAAAGCCTAAACTACTAACATATAGCTCTCCGGAAGATGCAAAGTTACCCTCAATTAAATCTGTTGATGAAGCCCTGCAAGACCAAATTTATTACAAAATTATAGAAAATATAATTTTGTTCATGAAGCTATAATGTAATCTAATATAATTACATGTAACACTGTAGAAAAAATGTAAGTTAATATTACATTATTGTAATAATTAATAGAAGCACACAATTTAACTGGTATTTTCATGGAAATCATTAGCTAAAATCAGGTTGCAAATCTGTGGAAAATGGTTTATTCCAGTAAACTATAAGCAGCAGTAATAGTGTATGATGTCTAGTTTCTAAAAAAAAAAAAAAAAAGGCAGCAGTTAGGCCAGTCATAGCTGTCTAATTTTAAGAACTAAATTACTTTTTGCAGTATACTTAATTTTAATACAAAGTGCTGTATTTGGTGAAGAACACTTCACAGAATCAGAAAACACTGATCCTGTTACAGTTGCTCATCCATTTTTCCCAGAAGCCAGGAGCATTTTTCAGACTTCTGATACTACCTGAGAATACATTTGACAGACTTGATTCTTATGGAGAGATGAGCCATAAGATAATTATCTTGTGTTTATTAGAAGTGGTTTTTTATCTTTGTGAGAAACCTGTTTTACTCAGTTTTCTCATGAAAGCACTTGTACATTTGCAAGAATAAGGAGCATTCAATATAATTTGGTATAGTCAAGGAAACGGGATAGCTCTCCAGCATGTATAGTGTTGAATAATATCTGGTATTAAACAACATGACATAGGCATTTGTAGCCACTAATAGCATGCAAAGGTCCTCAAAGAGAAACTGTTGGAAAAGCTTTTAGGGAACCAAGGGAGGAGGAAACCGAGCCATCCACAAAGCACAGCAACGCCAGCCTCATAATATTCCTTTAAAGTCAGAAAGAGACACTCATCTATGCTGAAGTTAATGGTAGAGTTGGCTCCCTGTTCTGAGTGGCCTGCTTTGGGAGCCTTCCCACATGGACTGTTTGAAGAGCTAAGGGAGATTTAGCCCCCCTAGGCTGAAGCTGGCCTTTCTCTCCCATTGAGGAGAGGGGGATTCTCCACGGTTGCGGGCAGAAATTGAAAATCTAGACTGTTCACTTCTTCAGGGTTTTTCAAATTCTCTTTAAACAGTTTCATGTCTGTGTGTGTGCGTGTTCAGCATCTTGCAACATCTTTCTGTAATCTTCTGTCTGTGAAAAAAGCCAAATGTTCTGGGAAGTCTGACGGCTATTATTACTCAGTGTTTCTTTCCAAGGCTTCCTTCCACTCTCCCATAAGGAGGAACTGATTGACATAGTTATTTTAGAATACCTATTTTAGTAAATTTCCTGGTGCATAAAAGGCCTTGGCTTCACAATAACAAAAAAAAGAATGTTTCCTAATCTAAAATTTTTAACCTTTTAATCAGAGCTTGTCATGATTAAGTCTAAGCTACACTATAATAGAAAGTAGAAAACCTAGAGCAACTTTACGGCTTCAAATTATTCTAACTGAGAATGTGCCAAAATATGTAGAAACTTGTCTTAAAATGGTGGCTGGTTTTGCCTGTATATTGTTTGACTTTAGATTCCCTTGCATCATGAAGTTTTGATTCAGTTTTCTCATTTACTCATAAACATTTCCAGGGAAAGAGAACCTTCAAACCGAAAAGGATCATAATATAGTTGACTACATTCGATGCCACTACAGGATTAAGAAAAGCATGTTCCTCATCTTGCAAAGGTTATATAAACAGTTGTGTTTTACGGTGTGCTGTGAAGGTCGGCATTGCATGTGCTGTTGAACTATTACAGAGAAAGTGAATTCCAGAGTTGAGAGCTTTCTGTTGAGGTTGTATACTTTGCTTGTTTTCTTTCTTTTGATGTGCCTGAGGAAGTATTTTGACTTCCTGCATAAGATAAAGTCACACAAAGGAACAGCATATAATGCCAAGTTAAGACCACTGGAGACTTTGTTCCTCTCTCTGTAGAATATGTACAGGATACAGCAATGCTGGTATTTCTTAAGCTTGAGATGAAGAAGGAGAATTATTTAAATTATTTGACCCTCCAACTGAAACTGTCACCTGTTTCTGCCATGCATTGTGGAAATCAAAATTATGTCAGCAATTCCTACCATGTTGGATAGCTTCTGCTGTGGGTGGAGATTTAAAGAAGTAAAAATGTCTCTCTGTCAGAGTACTGGTAGTGTTTTTTTTCATATTGATGCCTGCTCCAAAATGTGCAGGGCCAATTTGTTCCTTGTTTATCTACAGTGCCAGCATGTTGTTGCTGGAGATCCATTTAGGAAATTGTTCTTTTACAATACCTATTTTAGTAAATTTCCAAGCACATACAAGGCCTTGAGTTCAGAATAATAAAAAATGTGGCTTCACGCCCTGTTTGGGAAACAATTGTCACGTATCAGTCAGCTGCAACTTCAATGTTAGTGTTGGCTTTCTTCTAGCCTTCTTGCATTTTTCCTCTTGCCTTTTTTTTTTTCCTTCTCCTTTCACTCACCCACTAAATATCTGCTAGGATCAGACCGATACGTGTGTTCTTTCCACAGACCTCAATGTTGTGACCACCTTCCACATAAAATGTAAAAATTATTTTATAACTTTCATACATAGACGTACCAGAGGAGTAAAGAATACCTTGTATGAGTTTTTTGTTGCATCTTCTGTAGTGGCAAGTTGTGTTTGCAGCACACATGGCACACACAAATGTTCCTACAGTTTTGTTCCCCGACAGGCTGCTCTTCACTGTGGCTTCGTCGGCCAGCCCCGCCAAGCCCTGACTTCATCTTTCTTGTTTCGTGAATCCGACGAATCGGC